TCACTCCGCCTCCTGCAGAGGGAAAGCTTCACTGAGCAGGCCCAGGAAGCCTGGAGCACCAGCTGGGAGGTCGTCTGCCCCTGGGCTCCTGCTTGGAGGCCGGTGGGGAGGAGCGACCTGAATTTGGATCACATGAGAGGCAGAGCTTCTCCACAGGGGTTTGTATCCTGCGGGGATTTGGAGCTGAGACTTCACTGGTGGTGGCTTCTCTTCACTGCTTTCCAAAACTGTCAGAATCCTCAGTCAATGCTCTGAAGACTTCTCCTGGGAGAGACTTATGAGGTTGTTACTTAAGGTACTGGTGGCTCAGTGTCCAGCAGGCGGTGCCCTCCTGTGTGACGAGGCCACACGCCCTGTCATGCCAGCTGCTCCCATCCCCATCCCCACCCCACCCCTACCCACCATGTGACTGAGTTGCTAGAAGGACCAATGGGCCTCACCAAGACATGTCACCTTGGTCACAGGCACACACATCTGACCATCCCAATCTGTGGAGTCACAGATGGTGCTGACCCCTCCCTGACCTTGCCATGTGACAGTGTGAATGTGTGGTGCTGACATGTGACGACACTCAGTGTCCTTACCAGGGAAGCACCTTGAGTCTCTCTGTCCTGTTCCGTTGTGGGTTGGATTGTATCACCCCAAGATTTGTATATTGAGAGGCTGTGGGAGCTCATGCCTGAAATCCCAGCACTGAGGAGACTGCGGCAGGATGATTGAGTGTTTGGAAATAGCCTGGGATACACAGGAAGACCCTGTCTCAAACCAAAAGGAGAAGACAGGGCAGGGCTTTTTTGTTTTGTTTTTCAAGACAGGGTTTTTCTGTGTAGCTTTGGAGCCTGTCCTGGAACTCACTCTGTAGCCCAGGCTGGCCTCAAACTCACTGAGATCCACTTGCCTCTGCCTCCCGAGTGCTGGGATTAAAGAAAGGCATGTGCCACCATCGCCCAGCCAGGACAGGGTTTTAATCAAAATAGCCCTTTGGGGTTATGGTTCATCGGCCAGGGTCAAGGTGACTCTTGACTGATTATTGTCTTGTTCAGTTCTCCATCGTGACTTGGACAAGTACTTACTGCCCAGGTGACAGGTCGGTACCCGTGAGACGACTGTGGGGCTTGGGCCTGGCCTTACCATGCACTGACGTGTTTACAGCCCTTCCTCAAGTCCTGGATCACTGTAGGTTGAGGGCGGTGATATGGAGACTGCCTGGTGCCTTTTCCAGGGACCAGGACGCTGTGGAGGCCAACAGGTGTCTCAGGGACTCTTTTTGCTTTCGGCCTTGAAGGGAGGTGTACATCTGGGCTTGTCAGTCACCAGGTTAGACAGACATTCAGGGTGTTCACAGGTCTGCAGGCAGAGCTAGCTGGGAGACAGAGCCAGACAAGGCCGGTTGCCTGCTTTCACCCTGCCATGCACCCCAGTGGCCCTGACCTGCTGGGGTCAGAGCTTCCAACAACAATTCTTTTCAGTTTTCGTTTGCTTGGTTTTTTGTTTTGTTTTGTTTGTTTGTTTGTTTTTAAGACAGGGTTAAAATTGTGTATGTTGCTCTTTTTTTAAAGATTATTTATTTATTATATATACATTGGTGTTTTGTCTGCATGTATATCTGTGTGAGGGTCTCAGATCCCCTGGAACTAGAGTTACAGACAATTGTGAGCTGCCATGTGAGTCCTGGGAATTGAACCCAGGTCCTCTGGAAAAGCAGCCAGTGTTCAACCCCTTATCCAACTCTCCCGCCCTTTTCAAGACAGAGTCCTAGCTGTAGCCCTGGCTGTCCTAGAACTCACAGAGATCCACCTGCCTTTGCCTTCTGGTTGCTGAGATTAAAGGTGTGCGCTGCTGCTGCTGCTGCCGCTGCCACTGCTGCCGCTGCTGCTGCCGCCACCGCCGCCGCCGCCGCCACCGCCACCACCGCCACCACCACCATCCAGCTAGCTTTTGTTATTGGTTTTTTTTGGGAGGGGCGGGGGTGTTTTTTTGTTTTTTTGTTTTTTTGGGTTTTTTTTGGTTTTTCAAGACAGGATTTCTCAGTGTAGTTTTGGTGCCTGTCCTGGATCTCGCTCTGTAGACCAGGCTGGCCTCAAACTCACAGAGATCCGCCTGGCTCTGCCTCCCGAGTGTTGGGATTAAAGGTGTGCACCACCAACGCCCAGCTTAGCTTTTGTTTTTTGAAGCAGTCTTACTGTGCCTCCTGGCTAGCCTCGGACTCCTGATCCTCCTGCCTCAGCCTCTGAGTGCTGGGATCATAGGTGTGCTCCACCACGTCCGGCTGTAGGAAACATGGTCTCCAGGCTCTGGTGCACTTGGTGTCCTCCTGGGCCAGTGTCTGACCTCCCATACAGCCAGTGGCTCAAGGCAGGACAAGGACTGTCACTTCTGCCCATTCTGTTCTTTAGAACGAGTCCCTGAGTCCCCTCCCCACTAGGAATGAAGCACCACAGCTTGGGGACATCCTGATCGTGGCCAGGGCACTGGAATGTGGTAAAGACAGTCACTCAGGACTGGGTAATTTTTTTTTTTTTAAATAATTGTTCCCTGTCTCATCCTACATGGCCTGGCACTTCAAAGCTGCCTGGGGCTAAGTGGGAATTGAGGAGAGGACAGACACACAGACAGAAAAGCTAGAATCAGGTGGGCCAGGCTTGCTCTGATTGGGGGCAGCTACTGTAACTGCGGCAGGGAAACTGAGTGTGTTTATTAGGTACATCTCCAGGAAGAGGGGTCAGCTGGTCTCCGTGTGAGGTCTCTGTAGGAGAGCAACATCTGGACTGTAAACATCTGGGAGAAGGAAGCTGACCTCAACATTCCTCCTCAGACCCAGGAAGGCTTTGCCGTTCCTGTGGACCTGAGGTACTGGGGTCCTTGATGTGGCTGTGCCCATGTCAACAATACACACTCAGGGCTTCCTTCATTCCCCACAGCCCCCAAGTCTGGTGTTCTCTGGAGTAAGACAGGACCCCAAGTTCAAAGGTTTCTGAAGGTCTTGATTTTTTAATGTAAATTTTAAAACTCTATCACTTACTCTGCTCCAGACTCTGCTGGGCTCAGGGGACCAATAAGGAAATGGTGGTTACTCCAGGTGCCCTCGGCCAAAGCAGAGGTAAGAACTGCCCTCCCAGTGCCCGTGAATAAGTGAGCACAGACAGGTCGAAGAGGTCGTGAGGGCACAGCCTGAGCCAATTTCCTCAAAGAGGAACATGCTATGCTAGATTGAGGGATGGACAGGAGCTCACTCCCCTGGCAAGGGAAGAGAGTGCATTTCAGGCAGGGGGGCCAGCACAAGCAAAGGGGTGAAGGGGATGAAGAATTTCGTGACTCTTCGTTCCGGATGTGAACAGGTGTCCCTCCAGAGGGGACTGTAAAGTCATCGTAAGTTTGGGAAGCCTTGGGTTAGGTCAAATTAAAACCCTTTCCACTAGGGCTGGAGAGATGGCTCAGGGGTTAAAAGCATTTGTTGCTCTTTCGGAGGACCTGGGTTTGGTGCCCAGCACCCAATGGCAGCTCACAACCACCTGTACCTCCTGTTTCAAGGGATCCAATACCTTCTTCTGGTCTCCATAGGCACCAGGCACTTGGTTCACAGACACTTATTTCAAACATATAAAGTAGAATAAATAAACCTGACACTTAAAAGAAGAAAGCCTTTTCGTGCTGTGATGGCCTGTGCCTGCAGTCCCAGCACTGGGAAGACTGGGGTAAAAGGATCACCTAGCATTTGGACACAGCCTGACTGCTGAGAGAGCTCCTGGTTAGCCTTAACCTGGGCTATGTTGTGGTTTGTTTAAGCTGTTTTTGGGAGCCCACCACCCAGCTCCCAAATAAATCACACATGGAGGCCTATTCTTAATTATAAATGCCCGGCCTTAGCTTGGCTTGTTTTTTTTGCCAGCTTTTCCTAACTTTAAATTATCCCGTCTACCTTTTGACTCTGGGCTTTCACCTTTTCCTAAGATTTATTTATTTATTGTATGTACATTAGTGCTCTATCTGCTTATACAACTTTATGCCAGAAGAGGGTATCAGATCCCACTATAGATGGTTGTGAGCCACCATGTGGTTGCTGGGAATTGAACTCGTGACCTCTGAAAGAGCAGCAGCCAGTGCTCTTAACCGCTGAGCCATCTCTCCATCCTTACCTTTTTCTTACTTCTGTAACCTTACCTTCACTCTTACTCCCTGGCTGTGTGGCTGTGTGGCTGTGTGGCTGTCCGGCTGTCCCCTGATGACCTCCTCTGGCTACTTCTTTCCTTTCTTTCCCCCAGATTTCTCCTTCTATATATCCTCTCTACCTGCCAGCCCTGCCTATCCTTTCTCCTGCCTCGCTACTGGCCATTCAGTTCTTTATTAGACCATCAGGGGTTTTAGACAGACACAGTAACACAGCTTCACAGAGTTAAACAAATGCAACATAAACAAAAGTAACACACCTTAAAACCATATTCTACAACAGGCCTAGAATGAGATCTTGCCTCAAAAATGAAAAACAACAACAACAACAACAACAACAAAAAAAAAAAAAAAAAAAAAAAAAAAAAACCACAACCTAAATCTTTTCCTCATGCAGGACTTCTCAGAGCCTTTGACTGGCGGAGCTGGGAGTGCCCAGGAGGAGGATAAAGTAGATGGGATTCAGTCACAAATATGTCCGATTCCCAAACTCATTACGAGGTCCCTTCCTGTATCACAGGAAGTATCACAGAAGGCCGGGGACAGACCTTGGGAAATGCTGCTCATACCTCAGAAGATGCCACTCAAAGGCCCCCACTCCCATGCGTATCTCTGGGGACAGACCGAGCTCAGCCCTTGTGGAACTGTGCAAGGTTGGGGATGCATTTCCTTTTCCCGAGTCTCAGCTTCCCCATCTGGGCAGTGCGAAGGGCAGTGTTTCTTCTTTGTGGAGCACGGGCAGTCTGAGAGTGTGGCAAAGAGACTGAGTGACTTTGGCAGGCGCTGCCTAGAGGGCCTGATGCTCTCTCTCTGTCATGTCCTGTATCCCTCAGGCTTTAAGATGTGTGTCAGCAGCAGCAGCAGCAACAACCATGACGAGGCCCCTGTGCTGAACGACAAACACCTGAGTGTCCCCAACATCATCATTACACCCCCAACCCCGACGGGCACGGGGCTTTCCAGAGACTCCAAGCAGCCAGGTGAGGCGACACCACAATGCAGGAGACAGCTCCCAGGACCCCTTCTGTGCCCTGCAGGGCCTGACCTGGTTCCCAGCTCCCCCTGAGCTTGTTAGTGTATGGACAACTCTGTGGCCACTCCACTCTGGGCCCTTTGTCATGATGCCAGCCCTAGCTAGATGTAGCTTGATGAGCAATTGTCTGAGCGGTCCTGGCTGGCAGCGGGGAGGATGATGGATTGGTCTGGCCTGGCCCCCATGCCGTGTCTTAACCACTCACTAGAAATGAACGATGCTCCATCCCTGCCAACAGCAGGGCCTGCCGTCTTCCATGGTGCTGGCTGCAGCAGCTTGGACAACAGGATAGACTGGGAAATGGCCCCACGACAGGCTGCAGCTGTCCTTGGGTTTTCCAGATGTGAGGAAAGGGAAGATATGAAACGTTCCTGGCCAGACAGCATACAGGGTGGGGTGCAGATTGGTGTCTCCTGCTGATGCCCTCGGAGCTGGCAGGAGAGACTGCTCTCTTGTGCACTGAATGGAGATGCATTGAGCTAGGCCTGGTGTGTGTGTATGGGGGGGGGGGTTCACAGTCCTAGTTATTAGGGGAAGCTACTGCAGAAGGATCACAAGTTCAAGGCCGCCTGAGCTCCAAAGAAAGCTCAAGGCCAGCCTGGGCAGCTTAGCCAGACCCTGTCTCAAAATAAATATTGAATAAAGGGTTGCCTACGCTCAGTGGTGGAGCTCTCAAGGCCCTGGGTTCTGTCCGTCTCCAACAGCAAAGGGGTGAAGAAGGGGTGAAGAAGGCTGTTGGTGGTGGGGTGGTTGTGGCTGGTGGCCCATACTGAGAAAATGGGTCATTTTCTCACAGGTGGTCAGGAATGGACTTAGTATAGATCTCACCCCCTCAGCTACAGACAAACAAACTGAGGCTCACAGAGGCTGACGGACAAGTGATGGAGAAACTCCATTGAGTCCCGTAGGGGTGGGTGGCATCATGGCTGAGCAGGCCAGAGAGGAGTCGGTGCCAGGGAGAGGTAGGAATTGGCAGGAGGGCAGAAACCACCTCTGTTCCTTTCGACTCTCAAGAGAGCCAGCTCAGATCCCAGAGGACCACCCTGGATTCCTGCAGAGGGCAGCCACACCCGGTACCTCATCAGTTACCTCATCGGTTACCTCATCAGCCCATCGGGCTGCTCTCTTACACCAACTGCCAGCTCTCAGCATCACTGTACTGAGGGCCAAGCTTCCGGCGCGTAAGGCCCAGCCAAACCACAGTCGTTATCCTCTTTTGTGGCTTCCCCCCAGAAACCCCCACCAGGCTACATGATGGATGCACACCTCATTTACTCCTCACTCCAACACTGTGGGCTGTAGGGACTATGTGTAGCTCTGCTTTAGAGAAGGGGAAAGGACAGGATCCAGGGAAGGACAGTGACTCACCTGAGAGCCCACAGCAAGGTGGAGGAGAGCCAGGCTCCCGTCCATTGCTTCTCTGCCTCCCGGCAGACCCAGAGGACATCAGAGATGCAAGTCCCCAGCTTTGCCCCGAGGGCACTTCTCTCTCTAGACACAGCATCCTCTTCTGCAAGTTCCCAAGGTCGGTAGTTACCCCACAAAGTTGTGAGGTGACATTTCAGGCTAAAGCTGAGTGTTTAGGAGGCCCCTGAACCTTGGAAGAAGTTCGTTTTAAGTTTGGACAACTGTAGAGCGCATAGGGCCAGAGGGGTGGCCCACAACGTCTCTCAAACCCACACTTTGGTTCCACTGGGCTTCCAGAATTCCACCTGCCCCTTAGAGGTGCTGCTGGGAAACTCCCAAGCCTTGGTGTCGTCCTCTGTGCAGGGAAGACAAGAAGAGAGAGAAAGAGGTCTCTTGAGGACCTCGGGCCCTGCACATGACTGTGCTGTTGATGCCACTGAGAGAACTATCACTAGACTGGACCAGGGCGCTGCACATTGGGAACACTTGTTACATACTCCAGGGGTCCTGAGGAAGCACCCCAGCTCTGACACATCCCCCAGATCTATAAACCCAAGGAGATTCTGATCTCACTAGTTCCAAGGAGGGCCTAGGTGGTGGGGGATCTGAGGCACTGGGGATCCTTCTCAGCTTTTAGGGACTCATGCCAGGTTGTGGGGTCCTGGGGTGGTAACCTGAGGTGAAGAATGTTAGGCCTATGGAGGAAGCTGATAGAAGACCTGTTAAGGTGAGCCCTTCCTGATGATGATCCCCTCTTTCTCCTAGTCTGGATGGATGAGTTGGGGTGTTATCAAGATGATGGAGAGTTGGACCCTGAAGCCTGAGAAGTCACCAAGTGGTGGGACCTGTGTGGCACCTTCTTGCCTCACTGCCCCTTGCCCCAGGTGTTGGGGACATGGCTACCTGAGCAGCTGGATGAGGACTGAGAATTGGGCCCTGGACCAAGACAGGAGTGGCCAACGGAACACAGCAGGGCTCTGGCCCTGGCAGATCAGACATCCGTCATCTCCATGTTCTTGCCAAGCCAGACCCCAGCTTGGTGAGGAGGAAGTGACCCTGCCCTATGGCCACTGTGACCACAGACCCTGGCCCTCAAGGTCACAGCACACAAGGACTTCTCGCCAGAGCAGGGCCTCTGTTTTTTTTATAAGTTGTTTTACAGGTACAGAACCCACGTCCTGAGTGAGATTTATAAATAAAGCACCTTTGTGACTTGTGGGGTTCTGCTTCTTGGGCATGTGTGTGTGTGTGTGTGTGTGTGTGTGTGTGTGTGTGTGTGTGTGTGTGTGTGTGTGTGTGTGTGTGTGTGTCTGCCTTGCCAGGGTGGGAGGACAGGACATCACAAGCAGTCAAGGCTGGGAGTGCAGTGTGTCCACACTCTTCGCCTTTTCTCGAGGAGTGGAAATAAAAAGCCCACAGAGATGGCAAAGCAGCCGGAATGTCATGTAAAGGGAGTGATAGATAAGACAAGGACACACTGCAAGGCCTGCCTACCATCAATGAAGACACAGGGACTCAGGTACTGTTTGGGGGCTTCCTCTCCCAGAGTGCGACAGAATGAGCTTCAGGGTTGCTTGATGAGGGCCATCATGAGGATGGTTTCTGTTTTCTTTTTAATACTTATTTTATGGGTATGTGTGTATACCTGAGTGTGTGTGTGCCTGAGTGTGTATCTCAGCACCACATGCAGGTAGTACCCACAGAGGCCCGAAGGGGGCGCTGGATCCCCTGGAACTGGAGTTACCGATGGTTGTGAGCCACCGTGTGGGTCCTGAACCTAACCAGAGTCCTCTGCAAGAGCAGACAGGGCTCTTAATCATTGAGCCATCTCCCCAGGCCTAGATTTCTGTTTTGTTTGGCAGTTTAGGTCATATAATCATTTTTCTACTATGCAGTATTCATTTCTCATAATGCATCTGATTTTAATCATGTGCATGCTTAATTATGCATAAACATAAAATGGTAAACAGATTTTCTCTCAAAGCTCACTTTTTTTCCCCACACATACTCAAAACTAGTTCAGGCTGGATTGGCCCTCTACCCTAGGACCAAAATGTATTGGGAATGAGTCTGATTAGGAAATGTCTAAGCTTGGTGGTCACTGAGGGAAGGGTAACCCCAGTGTTCAGAGAGGGGTATAGGTGTAGCCTGATGCAGGCGGGGTCTGGGGTTGGTAGGTGTATTGTTTGAAGAGGGGTGTGTGCCTAGGACATTCAGGTAAGGGAGCAAGGCTTCCTAGGGGTTACTACAAGAAGGTGTACGTGTAGCCCAATCTGAGTAAGTCCCAGGTCACTCGGAGACCGAGCCAACCTTCCCTTAACTTGTGTCAGGTACTGGTGGTCATAGTCATAGAATAGTGATGACTACTGCTGAATCCCGCCATGTTGAATATTTAGGCTCCAACATGATTTTGAAGGGACTCCAACATTCAGACTACAGCAATCACACCAATGGCCTGAGTTAAAATTGCTTGTGGGCTGATGAAATGCTCAGCTGGTGAAGGCACTGGCCACTCCATCCATCCCAGTGTCCTGAGTTAGATTTCCAGGACCCACAGTGAAAGGAGAGAACTGATGTGAGCATGCACGCACGCGCTCACATTCACACACACACACACACACACACACACACACACACACACACACACACAAAATAAGTAAATGAGCTGACTGTGGTGGCACATGCCTTTTAATCCCAGCACTTGGGGGAGTGGGGCAGAGGCTAGTTTGGTCTACATAGCAAGTTCCAGGCTAGCCAAGGATACACAGTAAGACTGTCTCAAAATAAAGTAGTCAAGTAATAAGAAATAAAATAAAAATTGTAAGTTCGTTTACTAATTTTGAAAAGTCCAGAAAATAAAGTCCGACTTAACGCTTGATGGCAATAACGTTGGTTTTAACAAAACATCAAGTATTGTTATCCAGAAATTATCCAAGATTGTTATCCAGAAAGATCATACATTTGCAAGCACGTGTAGACTGGGGGATGATGAGCCAGAGCCACACTGCACTCTGGACATGCATCTCCAGCAGGGAAGACCTCACCACCGCGCTGTCTCCCTTCCGCCCCCAACTCAGACTCCAGTGCCTCTGTCATGGATGCCTGTGCGTTGTATCGATCTGTGTTGATTTCTTCTCTCGTCATGCCTTGCCCCTTTTCACCAGGCTCCAGGCCAGCCTGGTCTGCCCAGGCTCTGCTCTGTCTGCCATGATGGCAGGAGGTTAGGATGCTGGGTCTCCGCTTCCCTGTGGCTCTGCCCTTCATTCTGCTGCCAGTTTACTCTCTGATCAGCCTCCACCCTGCTTAGCAAGCTTCACAGGCTTCCTGCTTCCCCCAGAGGGCAGAGCTCAGCCTCCCTCCATCCCAACCCAGCCCCGTGGTCAGCTTTCCCCTTCCTGTGTGCCTTCTGTTCCGATTATTGCTGCTGCTATGGAATAGCCCCAGTTTTGTGACAGAACAACATCTGTTGTGGTCACCAATCTGCAACCTGGGCAGAGCTCAAAGAGACAGCTCATCCCTGTTTCATGAGACTACAATTGAGACATGTCACATGAGGCTGAAAGGTTGACATCCAAGGTGGCCCACCCAGGTGACCCATCTACCCACCACAAGGCTGGTGAGTTGGTCCCTGGCTCTTGGTTTCTCTCCACAGATGGCTTGGGCTTCCTCACAGTATGGTGGCCTGGTTCCTGGTGCTCTGCAAGGACCTTGTCTCCAAAGCCACTTGCCACTTGCTGTCACTTTAGCAGTGACGTGGAGCTATGGGGTATTCCTGACCTGAAGGGAGGGAATAGCAACCCTGGTTTCTCATGGGAACCATGTCAAAGGTTCAGTGGCAGAAGCACATGGGGAGAGGAGAGGTGTGGCCATGCTGTCTGTGAGGCAGGGCTCTCAGAGGAGCAGGACCAATAGACTATATATGTATATGTGTGTGTGTGTGTGTGTGTGTGTGTGTGTGTGTGTGTGTGTGTGTGTGTATGTATGAATATAATATGTATTCATCTATTCTAGGAAGGGTTTATTAGATTGCCTTACAGGATCCCGGCTGCGTGCTAATGTAGGGACTAAGGACTCCTCAGCAGTCCCACTCTGGACCAAAGCATGGGAGTCCCTAGAACAAAGAAGTCCTGATGTCACTGGGGGCGGGGGAGGGGGAATAGTGGAGGGGGATGGGCTCCTGCAGGGAAAGCAGGAAGTGAAGGGAGGCACAGGCTTCCTCTTGACTTCTTCGGATCTGGGTTGCCCTTTGGAGGGGGAAACCCACATTAAGGGTGGTTCTGTACTGCCTCTGCCCACAGCATCCTCTGTGGAAACACCTCACAAACAGGTACCATTTATGGGTACTAGAAGGCTCTTTAAAAACAAACACTTTTTTTTATTACTATATCTTTATGTATTTATTTGGGGGTAGGGTGTGTGCACACGTGCCATGGTGCCCGTGTGGAGGTCAGGGACAACTTGAGGAAGCAGGTTCTCTCTCCCACCATGTGTATCCCGAGGATCAAAGTCCTCACTAGCCTTGGTGACAAGCACCCTTACCTACTGACTCTGTCTTCTTTTTCAAATTTGTTTTTGGGGTTTTGAGGTTTTTTAATACATGATTTCTTTGGCTTCCCTGGAACTCACTCTGTAGACCAGGCTGGCCTTGAACTCAGAGATTTATCTGCCTTTGCCTCCTGAGTGCTGAGATTAAAGGTATGCACCATCATACCTGGCTCTTTAAAGAAAATTATTGGACATTTATTAATATTATTCTCTTATGTGTAGGAGTGTTTTGCCTGCATGTATGGCTGTGTGTCATGTACATGCCTGGGGCCCAAGGAAGCTGTTAAAGGACATCAGATCCCTTGAAACTGGAGTTACAGATGGTTGTGAGTCACCGTGTGGGTCCTGGGGATTGAACCTAGGTCCTCTGGAAGAGCAGTCAGTGCTCTTACTCATTGAGTTGCCTCTTTAACCCCGATACTGAGCCATCTTGTTGGCCTAAAATGTATGAGGCCCAGGGTTCAAAATCCAGTACCACAAAATAAATAAATAGATAGAGCTGGGGTATAACTCAGTGGTAGAGCATTTGCCTAGCCTTCATAAGGGTATGGGTTCAAACTCATAGTACCACCAAAGTGGGGAAAAGAATCAACAAGTAAGTGGAGGTGTGATGGGTTGGGGCCAGTCTCTCTGCAGGCTGTGTTCTTATTGCTGGTCCGGGTTCCCCTGCCCTGTTTGCTGTGCACTGGCCATCCTTCATCCCCAGGGAGCCAGGCCTGATACCTTTCCTTCCTGATCCCTCTGCAATGCAAGGGACCTTGGAGCTTAGGGCTGGGGCTGAGTCCACAGGCTGAGGGTCCCCCATCTGCCTGCTCTGCTGAGTCCTCCAGCCTGCTCAGCCACTAGCCCAGGTGAATAGCTCTCCTCATCCAGTCGCTTAGTGCCATGGCAACAGGCCTGTGAACAGGGGAGTGGGTGGGAGAGCTAGACAGGGCAAGCTGCATGGAGCTCCTACAGGGAGATCCCGGGCCTGGGAATCCAATCAGAGCTGATGCTCTTGCAGCAGCCTGAGGCCTCCTCCCTGGGCAGCGCATCCCTAGAGAAGTCAGTTTTGGAGGCTGCTACCCTGGTGGTGCCTACTGAGAGAGGTCAAAGACCCTCCCTGGTGGCCACTTCCAATACAGCTATGTAGCCCAGTCCCCCTGCCTCTGCCCCTGTGTCTGCCTTCTGAGTGCTGGGATCATAGGCAGGTACCACTACACTTGGCTTTTGTTTTGTTTTTGAGACAGTCTCATGTTGCCCAGGCTGGCCTTGAACTTCTGATCCTCCAGTTTCAACCTCTGGGATTACAGCTGTGCTTCAACACACCCAGATCTTCTCAATAGCTTCTAGGTGAGGCTTGAATCTATTATTAGTTGAAAATGCAGGGGCTGGCAAGATGGCTCTGTGGATAAAAGCACTTGCCACAAAGCCTGGTGCCCTGAGTTCAATCCCTGGGGTCCATGTAGAGGTGAAAGAGAGAACAACTGACTCCACACAGCTGTCCTTGGACCGCTGCATGTGCGCTGTGGTGTGTGTATGTGTGTGTGTGTGTGTGTGTGTGTGTGTGTGTGCATGTATATGCACACGCGCGCGCACACACAAATAATAATAACAGTATTGGCACTGGTTCAGAACCGGGGTTTGTTTGTTTGTTTTCCAGACAGAGTCTCTCTATGTAGCCCTGG